ATCTTCTATCGTTCTATCTTTATTTCTATCTTTCTCTCTCTCTCTACCAAAGATTCTCATCCTCTATCTTGTTATCTGTCTCTCTATCTTTCTTTCTTTTCTCTCTCTCTCTCTTTGTAACAAGCATCCTGATCCTCTATATTCAGAAATGTTTTTCTATTTTTTTCTCTTCTCGTTAACAAACATTCTCATCCTCTTTCTCTCTTTCTCTCTTCTCTATCTCTCTCTCTCTACCACGCATTCTCATCATCTATCTTTATATCTTTCTTTCTATTTGTCCTCGTTTTCATTTTTATATATATATTCTGTGTTTCTCTTCATATCCTCTTGTGCGAACCATTCTCCATGGGCAAAGCTTGTTACAACAAAATTTACGTAATTAAAACGAAACATAATCCTTTCAAAATAAAATCTCTCACGTAGTTTCATCTTCGATGTTCCCCGTTGAATTTTAATATTTTTTTATTCTTTTGCTCATCGATTTTTAATGTCTTTTTTGTCGTTCATTTTATTTTTTCAAAGCTAATAATTACGTCCCTTGCATCCATGCCCTTCCTTGTATTAATTCCATTTCATAATATGTTGTAGGATCTTTTATTTGGTTTGTTTTGTTCTTTTCCTGTTTATTTAGTTTTACGAGGATTATGTTATAATTACATTCGTTTATAAACCTGCGATAATTTCCAGGATTGGAACCTTTATTTGCGCATGTGCAGTAGTGTTCTAGAGCTTTCTACAGCTCAGGGTAAATTGTTCTTCAAGTGTCAAATACCCAAAGATTTACTCCATAAAGTCAAATACTCAATCATATATATGAAAATAGGTAACCACATATTCACTATCCTAGCACACCTACTCACAATACATTATATATATATATATATATATATATATATATATATATATATAGTGTAACCCGGATATAAGAGACCCGGATATGTATATATGAACATTGAAGTCAACGCTCAGAGTCGACAAGCTGTTTCATGCTTGACGCAATCTTCATGCCACGTGTGTTGAGATTTTTCTCGACTATTTATATATACGGTCCAGTGGTGCATTGTGAGTAGTTCATTCTGATGGTTATTTTAGCGGGAGTGGTTTGTTTATTTGTTTATTTTTGGTGGTTAATTTATTTTACTTGCTTTTTATTTATTTTTATTTACATACGCTCTATCTCTGATATGGAGTAATTTATCTCAGATAATCAGAGAGAGAGAGAGAGGGGGAGAGAGAGAGGGAGAGAGAGAGGGGAAGAGAGGGGAGAGAATGGGAGAGAGAGAGGGGGAGAGAGAGGAGGGAGAGAGAAGGTGCAACAGATAAATTGTCTTCTAAATGACGCAAAAATGAAAATAAAACTGAAATCTCATTTTAACAGATATATTTACCAAAATTATATTTACCATAATAATCAAGGGGGTTGCAGTCTGGGGAGTTAGCTGGCCGGATGTAAGGGGTGATGTGGTCACAGAAATTGTCTGACAATCATATGACAGACGTAGGGTCTTCCAGCTGGTACTCTCTCGACCGAGGACAGCACTACCTCCTCAAGTCTCTTGATGCAAGCCTCTGTGGGGAGTATGAGGCTCTCACCAATAAATCTTTTAGTTCTTTTCTTATCAGTGCTATCAAAATCAGTTTTCCGAGCTGCCGTACCTTCGTAATCACCATTAGATTCATCCAACACTTTCTGAATCCTCTGCACTGTGAAAATATTCTAACACCCAAACATGTTTAATGTATTGGAGCTTCCGGTACAAATGCCAAGCAGTACAGCATACCCTTTTCAAATTTCTGGTGAAAGGAATTGCGTCATGGGCCTCTTTGTCGGACAGACGGTAAACAACTGACCCTACTATACTGTGTAGTAAAAAATTATTAATGATTAAAGGAAAAAATCTACGCCAGATTAAGGGAAACGAACTACGCCAGATTAGGGGAAAAAGAACTACGACAGATTAAGGGAAAAGAACAATGTCAGATTAAGAGAAAAGAACAGTGCCAGATTCAGGGAAACAAATTACGCCAGGTTAAGGGAAAAGAACTGTGCCAGATTAACGGAAGAGAACTGTGCCAGATTAACGGAAAAGAACTGTGCCAGATTAAGGGAAAAGAACTACGCCAGATTAACGGAAAAGAACTGTGCCAGATTAACGGAAAAGAACTACGCCAGATTAAGGGAAAAGAACTGTGCCCGATTAACGGAAAAGAACTACGCCCGATTAAGGGAAAAGAACTGAGCCAGATTAAGGCAAAAAAACTGTGCCAGATTAACGGAAAAGAACTACGCCAGATTAACGGAAAAGAACTGTGCCAGATTAACGGAAAAGAACTGTGCAAGATTAACGGAAAAGAACTACGCCCGATTAAGGGAAAAGAACTGAGCCAGATTAAGGGAAAATAACTCTGCCAGATTAAGGGAAAAGAACTACGCCAGATTAACGGAAAAGAACTGTGCCAGATTAACGGAAAAGAACTGTGCCAGATTAACGAAAAAAGAACTACGCCCGATTAAGGGAAAAGAACTGAGCCAGATTAAGGGAAAATAACTCTGCCAGATTAACGGAAAAGAACTACGCCAGATTAACGGAAAAGAACTGTGCCAGATTAACGGAAAAGAACTACGCCCGATTAAGGGAAAAGAACTGAGCCAGATTAAGGGAAAATAACTGTGCCAGATTAACGGAAAAGAACTGTGCTAGATTAACGGAAAAGAACTACGCCCGAATAAGGGAAAAGAATGGAGCCAGATTAAGGGAAAAGAACTGTGCCAGATTAACGGAAAAGAACTGTGCCAGATTAACGGAAAAGAACTACGCCAGATTAAGGGAAAATAACTGTGCCAGATTAACGGAAAAGAACTACGCCAGATTAAGGGAAAGGAACTGTGCCAGATTAAGGGAAAAGATTGTGCAAGATTGACAGCAAAGAACTACACCAGATTAAGGGAAAAGAACTACGCCAGTTTAAGGGAAAAGAACTACGCCAGATTAACGGAAAAGAACTGAGCCAGATTAAGGGAAAATAACTGTGCCAGATTAAGGGAAAAGACTGTGCCAGATTGACAGAAAAGAACTACGCCAGATTAAGGGAAAAGAACTGTGCCAGATTAAGGAAAAAGAACTACGCCAGATTAACGGAAAAGAACTGTGCCAGATTAAGGGAAAAGAACTGTGCCAGATTAAGGGAAAAGAACTACGCCAGATTAACGGAAAAGAACTGTGCCTGATTAACGGAAAAGAACTACGCCCGATTAAGGGAAAAGAACTGAGCCAGATTAAGGGGAAAGAACTGTGTCAGATTAACGGAAAAGAACTACGCCAGATTAAGGGAAATGAACTACGCCAGATTAAGGGAAAAGAACTGTGCCAGATTAAGGGAAAAGAACTGTGCCAGATTAACGGAAAAGAACTGTGCCAGATTAACGGAAAAGAACTGTGCCAGATTGACAGAAAAGAACTACACCAGATTAAGGGAAAAGAACTACTCCAGATTAAGGGAAAAAAACTGTGCCAGATTAAGGGAAAAGAACTACGCCAGATTAACGGAAAAGAACTGTGCCAGATTAACGGAAAAGACTGTGCTAGATTAACGGAAAAGAACTACGTCCGATTAAGGGAAAAGAACTGAGCCAGATTAATGGAAAATAACTGTGTCAGATTAACGGAAAAGAACTACGCCCGATTAGCGGAAAAGAACTGTGCCAGATTAAGGGAAAAGCACTGTGCCAGATTAAGGGAAAAGACTGTGCCAGATTGACAGAAAAGAACTACGCCAGATTAAGGGAAAAGAACTACGCCAGATTAAGGGAAAAGAACTGTGCCAGATTAAGGGAAAAGAACTACGCCAGATTAACGGAAAAGAACTGTGCCAGATTAAGGGAAACGAACTACGTCAGATTAAGTCAATAGAATTACGCTAGAAGATAGCTAATTGCCGCTTATCATCTACCCTCGATGGGTAATGTCTAGCATGAGTGCCACAAGCACTGATCGAAAGAAATAAAATCCATATCTCCTCTATTGCCGCCAATTTGCTCGCTAGACTAGAATAAAGAAAACAAGTGACCAAATGTTACATTTAATTCCAGATTCAATCAACAATGTATTTTCCCTGATTATCTATGACTTCCTTCCATCTATTAACAAGCTTACTAATTCCATTACTGTAAAATTCTTTTGGCTTTGATTCGAAGAACTCACAAATGTCAGTTTTAACCTCTTCCTGTGTTACAAAGCTGTTTCTTCAAATGATTCTGTAGCTACGAAACAAATGGTAGTCTGAATGAGCAAGATCGGAAGAATAAAAGGTGGATGAGGAATTTTCTCCCAACCAAGTTCTTCGATCTTTTTGTGACGTGATTCTTGCTGTGTGGGGTCGCGCATTGTCCTGATGAAACATCACCTTTTTCGATTCACTAGAGCAGGTCTTTTTTCCTCAAAGCTTGGTTCAAACGCTCTAATTGTTGACAGTATATTTGAGTATTAATTCTTGCATTAGGTGGTAAGAATTCAACGTGGATTATTCCTTGGCGATCCCACCAGATTGAAAGAAGAACCTTTTGCCCATGAAGTTTCCTTCTCGGCTGTGACTGGGGTCCTTCCCCTTTACCAAGCCACTGTCTACGACGCTTAACATTTCAATAAAAGATCCATTTTTCGTCGCCAGTCGCAAGTCTATCCAAAAATGGTGAAACAAATTGGCGAGAATGGAGAGAAGAGCAGATGTCAACTCGGGATTTGAGGTTGTTTTCAGACAATTCATGAAGCACCCATTTTCCAAGTTTAGGAACATTTCCAAGTTGTTGAAGATGACGATGGACAGTTGTATGGTTTGAACTGAGAACACTGCCAATTCCTCAACTGATAAAGCAGGATTTTCTTCAAGGGCTGCTACAAGAAGCTTTTTATCAAACTCAACTGGACGTCCGATTCAATCTTCATCTTCAAGGGTGAAGTCTCCACCTCTGAATTTTGCACACCATCTTCTGCGAGTTCTTTCATTCACACATTCCTCTCCATAAACTGAGTGAATGTTTCTAGCCGCTTCAGCTGCTGAGTTTCCTTTCTTGAACTCATAAAGCATTATGTGCCTCAAATGATTCTTGGGTACTTCCATGT